GCCACGTATCAATCAATTAGAGCTTAAAATTAGTTATTTGCGACTTGTCGGTCTTTGGTTTTTTCTCATTAATTACATTTCCACTAATTCAATCCACCCTTTTACACATATGAAACACGCAAAAAACTGATTTGTAATATTTGTTGCCTAATTTATTACAATAACCCTTAATCAATAAATGTAATTTCAAACAACCACGCCACATTTATGCAATCCCATCAAATATACTAAATCCCTGCATAACACATATTCATTTTTACAATGTAATTTTCAAATTTTCAAATAAAACAATGTAAACAACTGTACAATATACTCAATATATATATATATATATATATATATATATATATATATATATATATATATATATTTACCTCATTTGCAATGAATATTCACAAATTTAAAAAAGTTCAAAATAAATTGTACTAATCAACTAAATTGAGTGAGTGAAAATCGGCTTGATCTAAATTAAGCATAATATTATCCTTTCGATTTCACATTTTCATTTAAAACAACGATTATAACTTTATATAAATACAAAAATATATATCTTAATTAATAATTTATTTACAATAATTGATTAGTAATTATAAGTTTTTTTATAAATATTTAATTTATTTTATAACCATGGTTCCCACGGGTTATAACCTAGTGTGTGTGTGTGTGTATATATATATATATATATATATATATATATATATATATATATATATATATATATATATATATATATATGGAAAAGTGAATATAACCTTAAGAGTATATAAGCTTAGGTACCCAAATTCACCATACCAGATCGTTTTGTATCATATAATACATTCTAATTGTCCAATATTCTTATAATTTAACTTCTAACTTGGTTTACTTCCATGATTTTTATAAATTACACATTTATCTTCCTCTTACATAATTTTCATTTTCAACTACAATATATATAAACTATTTGGTGCTTGGCAAAAATATGTGATGAAAGAGGAAGATAATAGTGAAATTTTGTAAATCTTGAAAGTAAATCAAGTTAGGGGTTAAAGTTTAAGAACATTATAATGAATATATATCAAACGAAACAATGTATTATAGTATCTTTGGGTACCTAAGTTTATATACCTTTAAGGGTATATTCACTTTCCCCATATATATATATATATATATATATATATATATATATATATATATATATATATATATATATATATATATATATATATGGTTAGGTTCACATGAGACGACCTAATTTTGTGAGACCGTGAGATGTATTTTTTATTTTTTTTAGTTAATTCAAGTTTCGAAAATAATATTTAAAAAAATATTTTTTGGATTTTTCCATTTATTTTGCATTTTAAAATTATTTTTTAGAATATGTCACTGTAATATTCTATTAGAATATTTCACATATTTTTCAAAAAAAATGGAATTTATTTTTATTTTTTTTTAGTTAATTCAAGTTCCGAAAATAATATTTAAAAAAAGAATTTTTAAATTTTTTCATTTATTCTGCATTTTAAAATTATTTTTTAGAATATGTCAGTGTAATATTCTATTAGAATATTTCACTTATTTTTCAAAAAAAATGGAATTTTTTTTATTTTTTTTTATTTTTTTAGTTAATTCAAGTTCCGAAAATAATATTTAAAAAAAAAGAATTTTTGGATTATTCCATTTATTTTGCATTTTAAAATTATTTTTAGATTTGGTCTTACGGTCTCACAAAATTAGAATGGTCTCAAATGAATCTGAACCTATATATATATATATATATATATATATATATATATATATATATATATATATATATATATATATATATATATATATATATATATATATATATACTAGTAGGATACCCGCGCGATGCGGCGGCGGAAATTTGTATCATTCCGGCGATTAATTTTCGTCCAAAAATTTGTTTCGTTTCGGTGGTTATCAAATCTTTTCCTTTCGTTGTATAGTTTCCTTTTTATATACAATATTATTTTTTTAAATAATAAAAGTATGTTGTTATTTTGTTATAAAAGTATGTGGTTTTTAGTTAAATAGAAAATATGTTATTATTTTGGATTAAAATATTTTCTTCTTGTGAATAGTTTACGACAATGATTAGCTTTCATACGGCGGACTGTTTCAAGATAATAAAAAAATATGTTTCGGTCATCGAAATATTTCAAATGGATTTCTTTTTATTAATTATTTCTCTAACCAACAGATCATATTACGTAGAACATATAGGCAAGTAGTTTTTTGTGATTTAGAGTTTAGGTTTAGAGTTTTAGGTATTAGGTTTTCAGTTTTGGGTATAAAGTTTAAGTTTTAGTTTTAATGTTTAGGGTTGAATTGATAAAGTCAACAAATTTAACAAAAAAATAATTTTATGGATTTAACATATTAAAGAGTAAAACCATTCAAATAGATAGTGTTGCCTTCCGGATCCTTTTCATTTCAAAAAGTAAAGCTATTTAATGTAATAATATAAGTTATTTCAAGGTAAATCATCAAAACTCTGTAATACCGATCCCATCAATCCGATCCAACCGTTGCATAGTCATACATTTGGATGTTCTGTTATGACAATTTTAGAAAACTTCTATAATCAGTTTAGTCAAATACCACATGAAACATGTTTTATAAAAAATTTAGAAAATTAAGAATTCTTTTAGAATACATAACAATATTAACTATATTATAGTAAGTTTGTGTCGATTAAATTGTACTTATTAAATCTTATAATAAATAAATATGTTTTATATCATTTTCTATAAAACTATGCTAACCGATACAATTTTACAATAAACATATGTTTTACAATAATTCTTTAATTCATTGAAACAAAATAAATAAAAATCGTGAATTACTTTACAATAAGAATAACAACTAAATCTTATTTAATAAATGTCATATAGTTTAAAGATAATATTTGCAATATTTGAATATTAAGCAAAACTAATACTATATTATATGTCTATTTGAAAAAATGGGATTACTAAAGAACAATACAGGAAGAAAGAAAGGCATTCCCATGTCAAACACGTTCTTTTCCTTTTTTTCATTAATTGTATTCAGGTACTAATAAAGATGGTTATGCATTATAAATCTTTGTAATACTAAAAATACTAATTATTTGCAAGGTTACCTCAATGATAGTTTGCAAATAATTAGCCCACTAAAAATAGATTGTTAGTCCAGAAAAGCCCAATAAAATGCCACATCGATTGTCACCCTACTTCCCTTTTAAAAACATGTTGCTTTAGAGAGTCCCTGCAGCCAACAAAAACCTAGCACAACCATTCCCCACTTATCTTGTTTATTCCATGTTTTGATGGTGATTTACAGTAGTGCTGGTCAAATAAGGTGTTCAACGGCGATTTTTCTTAGTCAAATAGTTTATGTACAGACACAAATGTAGATAAATACCACACAAATGCGCATTGACAAAATGTATGTAAAAACACAATGATCCAGAACATCGCTTTTTTTTTCTCTAAAATCGCATCTTCGTTTTACTTTTAAATCTCGTCTTTCATGTTTCCCAGTTTACATTCAGGTTCATAACTTCATAACTGAAGACACAAACAACATATCTACAACATAAACACAAACACACAAAAATCTCTGACAATATGTAGATCTATAACACCAACACAACGATCTATTACATGAACATCTTACATACGAAAAAATCCGTCTGATCAACAGATAAAGAGATAATAAAAAAAAAATTAAAATAGTGAGGCTTGTACGTGTGGTTTTAACCGCAAAGCAGAGGGAGGAATTAGATTTGAAGGTTTTTCTTATATACAAAAAGAAAGGGAGGGTGTGAGAAAAATCTCGGTGGTGACGGTGTTTAGAAACTTCGTCATTGATGATGTTTAGCAACAACAAAATGTTCGATGTTGGTTTTTGGCATCGGAGTTGGAGGTATTTATCGAACATAATGTAGGTGTGGTGACGGCTAGGGTGGTGGATCGTGTTCGTGACGGCTGGGGATGGTATCGACGATTGAGAATGGAAGTCTTTAGGGTTTTATGGATGTTGGTGATGATCACAATGGCTGAAACCGAATGCTTGAGGGTTTTAAAAAAAGATATGAGATAGTGGTAAGAAGAGAGTTGATGAATGAATTGGAGTTATAATTATATATAATATCTTCTGTGTATGGAATCTTTTTAATTTTAATGAGAACATTAGACCTTTCATTTTGATTGGCTATTCCGTGATCACATGGATCACCACCATGTACGTTATCTACACCATCAATTAAAATCCAAAGGCCTACAATTGACACTTAATTTATCTATGAAATTGAATTCGAATCATTAGCCCATTTTTTCTTGTCCACATAAATTTTGACGTCCTCAATCTTAAATTTGAACCATTCTAAAATCCCGCTCAATTATAGCATGCATCTATTACTTGTACCTCTTAAAGTGATGGTCTTAATTTTAAGACATTTGTGTATTAGGTACTTGTATATTATCCATGCGTTATATATATATATATATATATATATAATCAGGCATGGAAATTTCTAAAGATTCGTATAGGTGATATAATCCTTCATGGAAATGATATTACGTTTATTTATGCCTCCGAGAATCTCTCCATTTGTTTTGCATTGCAAGAATATAGAAAAATCTACAAGACAATTTGCAAATGTTCGTTCACCCATTTCCGAAGAGGTTTGTCTTCCTCTTTGGACCTCTCTCTCTCTCTCTCCATTGATGAACCTCCCAAAACTCACATACATGTACAGGTTTCAGGATTTTTTTTTTCAGATTCAGCCAAACTATATCATGCATATGATCTTTATATCAACCATTGAATCAACATCAAAAACGTACGTTGTGGGTTCATAACCTTTTCATCCATTTGCAGTTCTAAGGAGGAAGAGTTAGAAGGGATTGTTATATATTTTTCAAGATCGTCACCAACTTTCATTTTCCTGATCAAAATCTTTGGAAAATTTGTGATCTTTAGATTGAATCAAGATTGGCCCATGATTGAGGATGTCTTCTCAATCCCTAACCGATGACCACAAAACATCACAAAACACCACTACGTGTGTGTATCAGACACAAGTTGGTGGCTCTAGCAAGAATGTAACGGTTGTTTGGGAGAAAAACACCATGAATCATTCTCTGGATATCTCCATAGATAGTGTGTCATCTGAGGTTCATCCGAATCACAAGATCGACCTCAAACCATGGTGTTTTTGGGCAAAAAAGGGTTGCAAAACAATAGAAGTTGACTCGTATCAGATTGAGCTTTATTGGGATTTACGGTCAGCAAACTATCTTGCGTCGCCCGAGCCATGCTCGGACTTTTATGTGGCATTGATTCATGAAAATGAAGTTGTGTTGTTGATAGGTGACATGAAAGAGAAGGTATACAGGAAGACGCAAACACGCCCTGCAGAAGTGGAAGCTGCGTTGGTTTTCAAGAAAGAACATATGTTCGGGAAGAAAAGCTTTATGACACGGGCAAAATTCGAACCGAATGGGAAAGAATGTGAGATTGTGGTGGAGAGGTCGCTTGTAGGGTGTAAAGACCCTGAGATGTGGATCAGAGTTGATGGGATCGTGGTGATCCACATTAAAAATTTGCAGTGGAAGTTTCGTGGAAACCAGACTGTCTTGATCAACAAGCAACCAATTGAGGTCTTTTGGGATGTGCACACTTGGCTTTTTTCCAGTCGTGGATCGGGTCATGGGTTGTTTGTATTCAAGCATGATCAACAAGAGTCGGATAATGATCACCGAGACGATGATAAGCAAAGTGGGTGTGGGACTGGAGACAAAGACAAAGACAACGAATGCAGTGTTAGTTCAAATAGTTCGTCAAAATTACGATTATGTCTTATTCTTTATGCTTGGATGATTGACTGATCAATTAGGTATATATATACAAGTATATATAAAGTATTATTTGACCGTAGATTGGAAAATCGACATGAGAATTGAGATATGTACATTTGTTCTCGATGAAGCATAGAGTTATATGAACATATAATATGTGATTATGGTTTGCTAGTTGTTACCTGAGAATATAATATGCAACTGTGCAACAATTGTGAGTAGATGGATAATCAAATGTGACATGGGACGAAACCATGCACATCAACTATATTCCTAACTAGAGGCATCACATAATTGATAGAAAATCTGAATTCCACATGATGTTTATTAAGGAAAGATTGAAATCAAACCCAACCTGATAGAATTTAGCTAGAATTCTGATTCCTTGTTATCAAACCAAAGTACTCCCTATAACATATCAGGTCTTCTTCAATTGAGGTATCTTTGAATGTTATGCAAAGCAAAGAGAACACAAGCTTACAAGTCGTTCAAAAAAATGTGTTGACGAGAGCATTGGATAAAAAGGAAAGTATTGTAGATTAAAAGGAAAGGATTGTATTCATTATGAAGTCCTAGAATGTAGGCTATCTTCTTGTAATTTTGTTGTAATTATATATTCTTGTACCATCGGTGAATGAAATTGATTTTAATTTGCACCATAAAGTCTCATATTGTTCTCTGATTCCTTTGTTCTTTATGGTATCAGAGCCAGCCACAATTCTTTGAATCTGAAAACCACGAATTCGAAACCTACGAATGGACGAGAAGACAGGTGTGTAAAACCAAAACCCGGTGATTGTCTAGAATGTCCAAAACGCCCCGTTTCCGACTGGAATCAACATTGACAACACGAACTACCCGTTGTGGTCTCAACTAATGGAGATGTGCATCGGGGCACGAAATAAATATGGTTTTATCACCATAAAAACTCCAAAGCCCACGAACGGCGATGAAAAAGACCTTGAAGCCCGACTGATAGACAACAATCGAGTCAAAAGCTAGTAGATTGACTCGATGACTCCTTCCCTAATATGTCGGTTCATTAGGTTGCAGACGGCGGCTGAAATCTGGGAGGCGGAATGCAAAACCTTCTTTGACGGAAGTGACGAAACTCAACTATTCGAACTTAATCGGCGATCATTCAACATCCGACAGGGTGGACGTGCACTACCAATATACTACAATGAATTGGTGAGCATCTTTCAAGAAATCGATACTCGAATCACTACACGGGAGAAAATTATCGATGGAACTATTTAGGTAAACAAGACGATTACACGCCTCCGTGTACGCATATTTTTGGCGGGACTAGATGCAGAATTTAGTCAAGCTAGAAGCAAAATCTTAAAGAAGGACCCACCGCTAAGCGTGGAATCGAGTTACGCTTACATCCGAAGAGACTACAGCCAAAAACAAACCATTGAGGAGCCCAAAGTTGATCCCGACATACTCGTGCACATGGTCTCGCGTAATGGTCCTCAAAAAGGAAAAATAGAACTAGGAAGAAGAACTCTTTTACGTGTACACATTACGGAGAAGAGATCCACTCAAAGAAAAAATGCTATGAAATCATTGGATATCCGGACCGTGGGATTTCACGAAAAAACCAATGAAAAAACTCAGACAAGCAACAGTTGTGAACTCAACTCAGGATACTCCAATGGCGTCCCACACCACCACGTCAGACTTTGGTATGTGTTGTAAAACCCAAATGAAAATTAATAACTAGATCATAGACACAGGTGCCATAGACCACATGATAAATGATAAACAACTTTTAACATCTCCATGTATCCCTAAGCACAGTGTAATCCAAACAACAAGTCAGGAATCAGAAAAGGTTACATGTGAAGGAAGGGTACAAGTGTCTAATTCTATAAACCTTAATTCAGTTCTTGTAGTTCCATCTTTATCATCTAACCTGCTATCAGTTAGTCAAATCACAGAAGCCCTGAATTGTTATGTAATTTTCTGGCCAAAAAATTGTGTGTTTCGAGACATAGCAACGCACAAGACTCTTGGTTATAGTTCTAGGCGGGGGAAATTGTATTACCTGGAGGATGATTATAGGATTCAAGCGTTTCATACAGGAATAAAAGAGGCGAAGATGTTATGGCACCATCGTTTAGGGCATTTATCTTTTGGTTATCTCAATAAACTAAAACCATATTTGTTTTTAAATTTAGTGGCAAGTGAATTTAAATGTGGTATTTGTGAGTTAGCAAAGAACACGAGGATATCGTATGTTTCTAGCAATAATAAGTCTCTGTACCACTTATCAAAATACATTCAGATGTATGGGGGCCTACCCCGATTCTTACACCTGGTGGTGCTTGTTACTGTATGACATTCATTGATGAGTGTACTAGAATGGTTTGGGTTTCCTTATTAAAGAATAAGAGTGATGTACTATCTGCATTTAAAGAACAATACCATCATATCAAGACTAGATATAGTGTAAATATCCAAATATTCCAATCTGATAATGGTGGTGAATACATAAGTCATGAGATGACTCGTTTTTGCCAAGAGAACTCTATCCGGCAGCAAACCTCTTGTGCTAGAACTCCCCAACGAAATGGCTTGGCTGAAAGAAGGAACAGACAACTACTTGAAATTATACGCGCCTCCTAGTTTGACATGAATGTACCATGAAATTTATGGGGAGAAGTCGTTAGGTCAGCTGCATACCTCATGAATAGGATGCCATCTCGTGTACTAGAGTTTGCCACACCTTTACAAAAGTTACAAGAACTTGTAAAACAGCCCATCAACCTAGGACTTAAACCACGAATATTTGGTTGTACAGCGTACGTCCACCAAAATATCGGGAAACTAGAACCAAGGGCAATAAGGTGCATGTTCATAGGGTATGCAAATCAAAAAAAAAAAAGGTTATAGATGTTGCAATCCACTTGAAAAGAAAATTTATGTGTCGTGTGATGTGTCATTTCACAAATCTGTGAAGTTTTATGGGGATGAGAATTCACTTCAGGGGGGAGAAACAGAGAAGTAAATTTTCATGAAACTGAGGTAGTTGAATTCATTGTGGAGGAGGATTTCGAACAAAGAGAAAATGATCAAAACGATCACTCAACTGAAACCCCAGTTGAGGCTGAAACGAAGCCCGAAATTGAGTCTGAATCCAGTTCTGATGATGATGGGCCTGAGCTAACAAATAATGAATACTTTATGTTTGATGTTGTGTAGGAAAACAAATCCTAGGCCCAAGATCATGTATCTAGCGTTGTGAGGCCCAAAATTTTGTTCCAGTCATTGAACAGGAACATCGGTTCCTGTTAGGAGTACACGAGGGATTCCAAAACCTCAATATCAAGCTGATTTAAATGTAAAAGGGAAATACCCAATCGGAAATTATGTTTCATATCATCTCCTCGCAAGATCTCACATGGTTGTCATCAACAAGTTATCAACTGTATCAATTCCACGATACGTACACGAAGCAATGAAAGGCAAAAGATGGAAGAAAGCGATAATGGAAGAGACTGAGGCACTAATGAAAAATCATACCTAGGATCTTGTAACGTTGCCTCAAGGAAAGAAGTTAGTAGGTTGCAGATGGATTTTCATGGTAAAACTAGACTCTAATGGAAACATTGATCGATACAAGGCAAGGCTCGTGGCTAAGGGATATACACAAAAATATGGCATCGATTACAGAGATACATTTGCTCCGGAGGAAAAAATGAACACAATCAGAGTTTTGATTTCCATAGCCACAAATGAAAATTTGCCTTTAAAACAATTGGATGTGAAAAACGCATTCTTAAATGGATGCTTAGAAGAAGAAGTATACTTGGAGCCTCCTCCTGGTATAAATTGTAATGGGAAAGTTTGTAAGATAAAAAAGGCATTGTATGGTTTAAAGCAGCCGCCCCGTGCATGGTTTGGTAGATTCTCAGCTTTCATGAAGAAGATTGGCTACAAATAAAGTAAAGCAGACCATACGTTGTTTATTAAAAATATAAACCGGAAAATTACAGCTCTCATAGTATATGTGGAGGATATGGTGATAACTAGAAATGATAATGATGAAATAAAGAATCTTCAATCTCTTCTTGCTACAGAATTCGAGTTGAAGGATTTAGGCCCATTAAAGTATTTTTTGGGTATTGAAGTGTCAAAGTCAGAGATTGGAATTACTATGTGTCAACGGAAGTATATACTTGATTTGTTAGCTGAAACGGGGATGTTGGAATGCAAGCCCATAAACACTCCAATTGAAACGAACCATCGGTTGGAAATACTTCCAGATCAAGTGCCGAGTAATCAGGAGAGGTACCAAAAAACTCGTTGGAAAACTTATTCACTTGTCACATAAGCGATCGGACATCGCTTATGCGGTAAGTGTTGTCAGTAGATTTATGCATGCACAAGTGAAGAACATATGAAGGTGGTGTATAGAATTTTGAGGTATCTTAAAGCCACACTTGGGAAAGGATTATTTTTTGGAAAAAAAACAAGATCATAGTATAAAAGGATACACAGATGCAGATTGGGCTGGTGATCAGACAGATGGTAAGTCAACTTCTAGGTACTTGACTTTTGTTGGAGGAAACCTGGTCACATGGAGAAGTAAAAAACAAAAGTTGGTGTCTAGATCAAGTGTGGAAGCTGAATATCGGGAATGGTGCATGGCGTGTGTGAATTATCATGGATAAAGCAAATTTTGTGAGATATCGGCATATCTGTAGTTAGCCCGATTAAACTCCATTATGATAACGAGTTGGCTGTAAAAATAGCTAATAACCCAGTCCATTATGGGAGAGTGTTTGGATGCTCTCTTGACAAGCTAGGAATGATGGACATACATTTTCCACCTTGAGGGGGAGTGTTGACAAGAGCATTGGATAAAAAGGAAAGTATTGTACATGAAAAGGAAAGGATTGTATTCATTATGAATTCCTAGAATGTAGGCTATCTTCTTGTAATTCTATTGTAAAATGTATTATATATTCTTGTACCATTCGTGAATGAAATTGATTTTGATTGCACCATAAAGTTTGATATTGCTCTCTGATTCCTTTGTTCTTTAAAAAGAACACAAGTGTACAAACATTTTTCAAAGTTTACAAAATTATTCGTTGTTTACTCAAGGAAACTTTTGCTTTTGACAAGTTTGATTGTAAATTTGAAATTTGAAATAAAATGTAAAACAACTAAAATTCACTTCTTATTAAGATATAGCATGATTGTACTGAAGAGTGAAGGATTGATTCAAAGCACTTGACTAAAACCAATTCAAAATTGTTATCTTTAGCATTTGTTTCTTTCTATATATTTTCTATGCAATACTTTCTCTTTTACTTTGAACTTTGCATTCCCATGAAGCCTAAAATTAAAGGCATTAGCTTCTCAATAAATTCATGAATCATGTCAGTTTTCATTGTCTTCCAAAATTCCCATCATTCTGGATTAGAGCACCAAATTTAAATCTGGGTAAATTACACGTTTCGTCCCTGTGGTTTAGGGTCATTTGCACGTTCAGTCCCTAACAGCTTTTTTTAACTCGGACCGTCTCTAATATAAGTGTTTCTTGCATGTTTGGTCCCTTCCACTTTTAAAAAACCATATTGTCCTTTCTGATTTTTTATCATTATATTATTATTAATGTTATTTCTATTTTAAAAAATGATTATAGGTAGTGGGTCCCACACCAATCTCATTTCTTACCCTTTCCCACTTTCCTTTTGATCCTCAAACGTAAGCTCGACGTATGAGATGATCTACACTTAATTTTCTTCCATGAAAGTTCACCTTCGCCCCACCCCAGGTCGATCATCGTCTCACCTCACCCTTTGTTCCAAAAAAATTGACTAACACTTTTCTCTTCTACCATCGGTAACCTAAAAACACAAAATTAACAAGTATTACCTAAAATCATGGGGGTTTTCAAGTCAGGGAGGATCGATAAGGCAAGGAACTTAGACAATAACAGTTGATCATACCGTGTATGGGGGATGGATTGGTGGTCATATCTACAAATTGGTGGTGATGAGGATCTAAAAATTAGCATATATGTATTGCTAGGTGTTTGAATTTGTACATTGGTGCAGGTGTAAGAAAAATGAAAGGATAAGAGGGAAGCTAGAGAAACTCGATGTTGACGATGAAGTAACTGATGTTGCAGATGCTTTGACCATGGACCTTAGTTGACACACATTCTGACCACAAACCTTAACTGAAATCAATTAGTGTAGATCTTCCAGGGTAGTGGGGTAGTGGTGGTAGAGAGAGATTTTCAAACGGGGATATCGAGAGGAGAGGAAAGAAGAAAAGATGAGATGGAAGAAAGGTCACCTAGTCGTTGTTGGGTTTGGGTCTCTCGTCAAAGATGTGGCAGAATAGACAATCGGAGAATGGGGTATTAAGAAAACGACGAGGCCTAAGGGGGTGTTTGGATTAACTTATTAGCTTACTAGCTTATTTATGGTGGGAATAAGCAATAAGCAAGGAGGAGACGGAGAATGGGGTATTAAGAAAACGACGAGGCCTAAGGGGGTGTTTGGATTAACTTATTAGCTTACTAGCTTATTTATGGTGGGAATAAGCAATAAGCAAGGGGGAGATGCTTATTAAAATTAGCTTATTTAGCTTATTTCTAACACAATAAGATGATTTTTAAGGATTTTATCCAAACACTTAAACTTAACTTATTGTGGTGGGAATAAGCAATAAGCAATAAGCAATAAGCACCCTCTTTTTTTCATATCCAATTCCAAACACCCCCTAAAAACAAAGAGGTGGGATAAAATAGGGAGATGGTGGGGTTTGGTATTTTAATTTTTTGCATCCGGTTTTTATGGTGATGGCGGTCAGATGTGGTTTTCTGGTGACTAAACATAACAAGGGGAGGAAGAGTGGTCATCGAAAAAGTGGCAGTGGCGTCATTGGAAAAGTATCTCACCATAAGTTGGGTGAATGAGGATAAAATGAGTGGGATTTGTTTTTTATTCTTTTTTATTTAAAAATTATAAAAAAATATAAGAGAAAATTAAAAAAGAAATAGATAAGGGAATAATAGTCTTTTTACGTCACTCAAGGACCAAGGACGCAACAAAACCAAAACAAATGGACTGTCCGAATTATAAAAAATAAATAAATAAATAAAGTTTTTAGGGATCAAACATGCAAGTTACCCCAAACCATAGGGACAATCTGTGTAATTTACCCTTTAAATTGCAACCTACGCCTCTCCAATCTAAAATGGCAGCACACAACATAGCATTGAGTGTGTCTCAACCTCAAACTCTTCATAGGCGAATTCTTATGAGTTCTCAAGCATAAATATTAAGACCCTCTTGATCTATAGGATTGTGTTGAGAGTGCTTATCTCGTAGAAAGTTCTAGAAATGTTTGACATAAGGACAATGTAAACAAAGATGAAAACGTGTTGAAAATAAATTCAGATAATGTTGATTTTTGAAAGAAGAAAACAACTTGGACACGAGCTCTAGTATTATGTATTTTTTGGTTTTAATGCACTTTTATTTTGGTTCATGTGATCTAGGATGTAGTTAATTATCTAACTTCCTATGTAGTTAGCTAGGTGTTTTAAATGTTCAGAATATATAGGATGTAAGTGGTGGGCTAAAGATATGTTCTAAATATATGTAGGTTTGGATGTCGAGCTCACTAATATGTGTTATTTTGATGCGAGCTTCCAAATTGATAAGGATGATTCTCGATCTCAGTCAAAATATGTCTTCATCATGAATAAAGAAGTAATAGACTAAAGTAGCTCAAAAAAGTGCAAGGTTGCACACTCCACGACAAGGTCATAATACATCACAGTCTCAGAGGCAGCTCAAGAAATTTTTTGGGATTATAAAGTTTATTATTTAACCAGGGATAGCACCCAACATCGGAAGACGTATGGAGGTGCACTTTGAAAATGTTGGTGCTTTTTCACCATAAATGAAGTCATTGTTCCTAAGCTTCATAAAGATGAAAATCAAGTTGATTCGTCTACAAAGGTTATGCCTCATTCTAAGCATGATGATTATGGTATGGTAATTAGACTTCGTTTTCTTGTAGCTTACTTTGAATTGTAACTTTATCTATGATATGGGAATAACCAAATTCACATGTATTTATTGTTGGTGAATAGTAGTGTAATGTCCCAAGTTTCAAACAAAAAATTTTATTTTAAAAATGAGATTAAACCTCTAAAATCCATTCCTTTAATT